TCTCGTCACGTATATAGTAGTGAATAAACAAGAGTGAAAGCTGATTTCCATGAGAAATGATTCTCGTCACGTATATAGTAGTGAATAAACAAGAGTGAAAGTTGATTTCCATGAGAAATGATTCTTGTCACGTATATAGTAGTGAATAAACAAGAGTGAAAGTTGATTTCCATGAGAAATGATTCTTGTCACGTATATAATAGTGAATAAACAAGAGTGAAAGTTGGTGTCAATGAGAAATGATTCTTGTCACGTATATAATAGTGAATAAACAAGAGTGAAAGTTGATTTCAATGAGAAATGATTCTTGTCACGTATATAGTAGTGAATAAACAAGAGTGAAAGTTGATTTCTATGAGAAATGATTCTTGTCACGTATATAGTAGTGAATAAACAAGAGTGAAAGTTGATTTCTATGAGAAATTATTCTTGTCACGTATATAATAGTGAATAAACAAGAGTGAAAGTTGATTTCTATGAGAAATGATTCTTGTCACGTGTATAATAATGAATAAACTAGATTATATCTAGAGAAATTATTTAGAGAAGCGATTGTTGTCATATATATTGTAATGAGTAAACTAAAAACATTTTCTTGGCCATGACAATCCTGACTAAAAGAATTAATAGTAACTGCCATTTCTGTTCTGCATAATTAAAACGTGATTAGTTTTCTGGAAGCCACACGGGTTTAACAATCTTATAAAAAGATCAGGTATTGCATTCAAGTTATAAACCTCTGCCAGGATTTATACTAGAATAGTGATGCTACAAATTGAGAAAATCTCACAGGTAATTACTTAGAGTGTCAAGTGAAGACCTACTTACAAAATGTATCCGATAATCTTAAGTCCATTCCTTGCTAAGAACCTTCTTGGAGTATTCTAATGTGATAGGAAGTCTGAAGGCCAAATTAGTCTTTCTGAGGATATATGTACCAATGCATTTGACCAAGAATAGGTCGACCCTAACACAACATAAAATTTAGACGTCTTCCAAGAAGCCTGTACCATTGCACGAACAAGGACTTGAAGAGATATGATTCTCCGGGATGTTGAATTTCATGAACTTTCACGAAGGAATGCATCAATGAAGTTACTTAAACTTACCGATGACATTAAGGTCTTGGGTGTTGCTGGTTGTGACGAGAATGCTGCTGCGTTACAAAATGATTTGTATTATGTGGTGAGTTGTGGCTGATGCTTTTAATTATAACAATTTCAGTGTAATATATATATGTGTTATCACAGTTTGAATCAGAAGTATAATTTTGATGGGAATGACCTTAAGCCACCCAAGCAATGTGCTGTTGCTAGTGGCAGGGCAAATAGGATCTTAGGTTACACCTAGACTAGAGAAATATTATATAGAAATCTAAAGAGGTTATAAGTACATCGTATACATAACTGGTTAGGCCACATTTAAAGTATTATGCTCAGTCCTGGGCTCCTTTCCATAGGAAGGACATTGGGTTGTTGGAAAGGGTTCAGAGCAGGGCTTCTAAGATATCTGGTTGTTATACAAGAACAAGTTAACACCTCTTACAAGAACAAGTTAACACTTCTTACTTTACTCTGATTCAGGTGTATAAGATTGTTAAGTGAATTGATAGTGTTTGTGCACCATCTCTTTTCATACTTAATGGTGAGAATGTCAGAAGTTTAGGATTAGAGGACACAATTATAAATTTTTGCAGGGAAGAAGTCATCCTAGCTAAGACAGTTTTATTTTTTTAACAGGGGAGTTGGCCTTTGGAATGGGTTGTCTTCAGATGTAATAGATGTAGTTAATTTAAGGGAAGAATTGATAAATAATAAGAGCTGACTTAGAGTATGTTTTTAATAGTTTAGTAGATTGGACAGGCTAGATAAACCAACACTTCCCTTGTTGCCCTTAAATATTATGCTAATTTTTATGAGTAATGTTAAAAAATTAGATAAATTGAACTGACAACACAGCAAATGGATCAAACTCATACCACTGAGTTGGATGTTTCTTAACTGTTTTATAAGAATCATCTGTCTTTCACGTAAGTCTCATCAATTCAATTGAATTGAATCTCTAATGCTTTCAATTACATTATTCTGTGTTTAAAAATAAGTGCTATTTGTAGTAAGATATAAGGTGAAGCATGTCTCTGTCTCAGAATCTACATACCTGAAGAAGACAGACCAATGTTCTGTTGTATGTTCCACCATCAATAAAATACAAAATTATTCCTCATGCTTATAAATTGTGTTTTTAATCTACACACTGTTACATTATCAATCTTCTAAATTCAAATGTGCCCATGTTATAATTTGATATCTGAATGCTATAGTAATACTCAAGGTATGCTGTACGGGTAGTTTTAATACAGATGTCTAGAACTTCTACAAAGTTGGATACTTATGGCTATAACATTGTAGTTCTTTGGGACAAGGAAAACTATAGAATAGATTCAGGTGTTTAAAATTATTAAAGCTAGTACAACTTACTAGGAAGAGTCTATTTAGTGATGGAATGAAAACATTAAATATTTGAATTTCAATATTAGTTGTTATAACTACACTTTGGAAACTCCCATCAAAAGATACCATAAACTTGTGGAGTGGCCAAGGGTGATTCTATTTTTATTTAATTATTTATTTTGACAAATACATATGTAAAGAGCAACATCTACCAGAGGTATAACATTTTTGACTTCTATAGCAACTGTAAATTATATTATTATAATATTAATTTTCTAGGGGCATACTCCCAGACCACCCCCCCTAGATTGAGCTGCCTTTGGCATATGGGAGTTGCTTTTAGCAGCTCCTTATACTTTCAATCTCTCGTTATAAAATCTGCATGTCTTGCCAAGAAAATCCACCTTGCAACTCATTTCGACATCACTGTCTAGTTTGTTTTAGTAGGTTGAGTGGGTGTTTACATCAACAAGTGTCATGGGTGTTTACTTTAACTAGCACTTCTCATTTTTAGTTTCATAATAAGTACAGTATCTATATGATGTTTACCATTTACAAACAACAAATTTGATGTCTTCATTTTTTTTTTTCTAGTGTTAGCATTTCATATCTTACACTACTGTACAATATCCACAGATTTGACCATTCACCTACAGGGCCAGAAACAAATTTCAATCTTAGTTAATCATTAACTACTGCAACAGCTAATACAAATAATCATCTTCATCTTACAGCAAATCAATCATCAAATAAGCTCTTCCACACAAAAAAAAGGTAATTATTATATTTTTCCCCAAATAAGATTCTGATTCTGAATTTACATATAATATTATATATATTCATTTAGGAAGGTACCTCTTAGACTAACACCTTAACATGGTGAAATACTTTTGTGTCTGACAGAGAAGGGCATGATCAGATCTACAATGTTAAAGTAAACTCAGTCTACTGACAATGGGTTTGTTGTATAACTAACCAATGAAGTCTCTATTATTCATTATATAATTACTGGGAAAGTTCTGAAAACAAAAAAGACAAATTTCTCAGACTAACCAGAAGGTAACATGATTAACAACATGTTAAAAACAGAAAATTATAACAGGACCTCTCATGGCAGAAATGAATATTGGTACATTGAAAAAAACTTCAAGGTCATATAACTTATTATCAGAAATTGTTGTGAGATCTTGGATAAAAGACCTGAGCAGGATTTATTAAATTGCTCTGTCCATGTTTCTACCTTCCATAAAATACAATAACATTAGCCAGATCTAACCTAAAATAATAAATATTTCTTTAAAAGATTAATTCTGAAATTCAAATGGCTTTGCAAAGGAGTCAATTTAAGTGTCTTAACATTTTTTAAACATCTACACTCTACTCATGCCCCTACTGTAACATAAATACTATTATCAAAACGTTACACATGGGGGTATGTAAAACTAAAAACTAATATAACAAACGGTCAGCGGATATCCAAGCTCCAGTTCTATATGCTTCAAGTCTAAATATCTATTAAACTTCGGACCCTTTTTAAATCACGGTCCTAATTCTTTAATGAAAAATTAATAAAATTAAAAAGAACACGGTTAACTTAAGCCACGATTGCTGAACAATATTATATTTATTAGAGAGTGTACGTTAACTGTATGTCATCATATAAATAGAGATAATGTTCAAGTAACATCGTAAGAAAATATTTTAAAAGTAAAAAGTCACAACTGAACATAGCCCATCGAGATCAACACTCCATCATAAACACCACTACGCGCCCCTGTTATCAAACCTTCCCTTACGAAAACATTAGCCATTTAATTCTTACGTAGAGCTTAACAACGTCATATCCCTTAGTCACGTCACAGAGCCTAGATAGTGGAACTGTAGCGCCACCTAAGGGTAATTTTCTTTAATTTCGTTGCTGTAAGCTTGGAGTTGTATGAACGAGGCGAAAGGTGGTAAGTAAATTGCGCAGTATTTGAGATTCATATTTTTTCTTTTTATAAAATCTATAAATGTACAAAAGAATATTATTTGCGACATACTTTACTTTCTAGTTTATTTTCACGAACATTTTATATAATTAACATGATTAACCTTAGTAACATATGAACCCCTATTTTAGAAATCGTTTGGGCAGTTCTACTTGCAGCCATTTTTCTTGGCGCGAATTATGTGTAACCCCGACGAGGGCGCCACTTGAAAAATGTTAGGCCTATTTATATTCAAAGAAAGACCGCTAATTTTTCATTCTATTTAAAATTAAAATTAATCGTGCCACCGAGACATCTATCGTTATAACTTGAAAATATGTTTTCTGTAAAACATAACACATTGAAGTTCAATCATATAAGTTATTTGTGTGTGTTTATTTTAACTAAGTACTCTGTGTTGGAAAAGAAGGGACTTACTTTAACGTAAAAAAAATTTTTAAAACTGTAGGACACTAACGCAGGCTAACATTTTTATTTATTATTTCATTTTTGATCGTAGTGCTAAATTGAAACTGAATTGTATTTGCTTTAAGGTTGAGCGTAAACATTATTAGGATTTACTAGCAAGTGTTGATGACATAATTAAATAAATATACATATTAAAAAAAAATTGTATCAGAAATTGACACATATTTATTGTAAAATTTCGTTAAAAATCCAAATAGAAACACGATATTAAGCAGGAATAATTATTAAAAATACGTGCATTATTAATACAAAAAATACAGTCTACAACAGTACAAGTTTCAACTGGCACTAGCCAGTCATGAGCAGGATAATATCTATTTTTAAGATAATCATATTTATCATATGGGAATTTTTAATTTAATACATTGGTTGATTAAGTAATAATCTAATATAATTGTAACAAAATTAAAGTATGTTACTTTTAACATGAGAAATTAAAATTTTGTTTTTGTTAGCATTATATTTATTTTAATCCAATGGTAGGCTAATGAAAGACATTTCACAACATATGTTAATGCAGAGAGAATGTTTCATTATAAAACTAAATTTTATCATAGCTCTTAGTTACATCATAGTTTCATATGCTATACTAATAAACATTTTCCATAGGATTGTAAAATTGTATTAAAAAAAATGTAATTTTAAACAGAGGTTCTGATGGCATGGGAGAAAATAAGGTGATGTTAGTCAAGTAAAATCATAGCTTATGTTTAATAGTCATGAATCGTTTTGATTGGGGTGATGCTAAATCTATGCACACCAAGGGAGAGAAACATGAAACTATCTGTGTGAGATGAGAGAGTTGGGGAAGGTGTAATTTTTAAAAAAGATATAACATGAAGAAACAATCTCTTCAGCGAAACTAGCAGTGGGTCATATATATGAAACCAAGAGTTCATAATCCAAATCCTGTTGTAGCAAAATCTTGTATTACATTTATGTGCTGTGAGTGAGTTATAAGAGTGATGGTCAAATTATGATATTTGATTAGAGTGGCCCAGAAGTTGGTGGTAGGTGCTGTTCACTAGTTCCCTTATTTCCAGTAAATTTCAGTTCAAAATTAGGAACATCTAGTGTAGAAAATCCTTGTGTAAGTTTGTGTGAATATCTGAAATAAACAAGTATAAGAGAGAGAAATAATTACCATCTTTCTATTCCTTTATTTGATACTTAAATTTGTAATTGTAAATATAAGAAATGATATGTTGAGGTTATGTTTTCTTAGGTATGAAGTAGAGCTTTAAAAGGATTAAGTTTTCTTCCAAATAACTTGTGACAAATAATGTAGTCAGAGATTTTCTAATCCTTGTGTAAACCTGAAAGTTTCATACACACCATTAGTATTCTCTAACATGTCATACAGATTTTTTAAATGGATGGAATTAATACTTTTTGCATCATCTTCCTTTCTAGAATGGAAATTTCTCATGTGAGGAGATATTTTAGTGAGCACACCATCTGGTGACTGCAAGAGTGCTGTGTTTTCATCTTCACTTAAGCATTGGTAAGGTTTTCTTCCTCTTCTTACTCATGTGAGAATAATTTCTGTTGATCCCACTCTCTTGTGATTGAATGAGTAAGTTGTTTCATGTTTTAACTTAAATTTTCTTTTCTAATGCAATTCTTTGTTTTATGAGGATATGCTTAATTTTGAACAGCGAAATTGGTCCTGAGGTAATAGGCATTTGTGCTCTGTACTTTCTTTAGACTTACATGATATTTTCACTTGCAAAATGTTATCTGAGTCTTGTTGGGAACTAAGTATACCATATCAACTCTGGTAGAGATAGTGGAACCTTAAGTATACACCATATCGACTCTGGTATAGATAGTGGAACACGAAGTATACCGTATTGACTCTGGTAGAGATAGTGGAACATTAAGTACACCATATCGACTCTGGTAGATATCGTGGAACCCTAAGTACACTGTATCAACTCTGGTAGAGATAGTGGAACCTTAAGTACACCATATCGACTCTGGTAGATATAGTGCAACACTAAGTACACCATATCAACTCTGGTAGATATAGTGGAATCCTAACTACACTGTATCAACAACACTAAGTACACCATATTGACTCTGGTAGATATAGAGCAACACTAAGTACACCTTATTGACTCTGATAGAGATAGTGAAACACTAAGTACACCATATCGACTCTGGTATAGATAGTGGAACCTTAAGTACACCATATCGACTCTGGTATAGATAGTGGAACACGAAGTACACCGTATTGACTCTGGTAGAGATAGTGGAACCTTAAGTACACCATATCGATTCTGGTAGATATAGTGGAACCCTAAGTACACCGTATCAACTCTGGTATAGATAGTGGAGCCTTAAGTACACCATATCGATTCTGGTAGATATCGTGGTGCACTAAGTGTACCATATCAACTCTGGTAGATATAGTGGAACCTTAAGTACACCATATCGACTCTGGTAGATATAGCACAACACTAAGTACACCATATTGACTCTGATAGAGATAGTGGAACACTAAGTACACCATATCGACTCTGGTAGATATAATGCAACACTAAGTACATCATAACGACTCTAGTAAAGATAGTGGAACACTAAGTACACCATATTGACTCTGGTAGAAATAGAGCAACACTAAGTACACCATATCGACTCTGGTAGATATAGTGGAATATTAAGTACACCAACTGTGGTAGAGATAGTGGAATATTAAGTACACCGACTTTGGTAGATATAGTGGAATATTAAGTACACTGACTTTGGTAGAGATAGTGGAACGTTAAGTACACCAACTCTGGTAGAGATAGTGGAACACTAAGTACACCAACTCTGGTAGAAATAGTGGAACACTAAGTACACCAACTCTGGTAGAGATAGTGGAACACTAAGTACACCAACTCTGGTAGAGATAGTGGAACACTAAGTACACCAACTCTGGTAGAGATAGTGGAACACTAAGTATACTGTATTGACTCTGGTAGATATAGTGGAACACTAAGTACACTGTATTGACTCTGGTAGATATAGTGGAACACTAAGTACACCAACTCTGGTAGACATAGTGGAACACTAAGTACACCGTATTCACTCTGGTAGAGATAATGAAAGTAAGTGAAACATACATAACAAGTTCAGCCAAATTTTTAATAATTTAAAATCATTGTAAAGACTCAACCTTGAAATTTATTTTACCTAGTGATGTTTTGGGAACTTGTCTTCATTAGGCTTAGGCCAGGTGAAGTGAATAAGTAAAACAAATATATTTTAAATTTTGGTGTAAATTTATCTTTGTCAATGGCCCTAACCATATTTGGTATAGCATGGATTGATATTGTTATCACATATACAAGCCCCCTAGTAGCACACAGGTATGCTCGCAGACTTACAATGCCAGAAACCGGGTTTCGATACCCGTGGTGGGCAGAGCACAGATAGTCCATTGTGTAGCTTTGTGCTTAACTTCAAACAAAACACATATGCAAAATATGTGTATGTAAATGTACTCAGATTAAAAATTTCTTATAGAAACTGAGATGAGAATCTGCTGACAGGATGGTGGGAAAAAAACATCCATTTTCCACCTTCAAGAGTAAACCTAGACATTCTCTGGCTTCTGGTGCACAAAAGAAAATGAAACAGCAAAGAAGAGTGTCCACCAGTTTAAAACCTCCGTCCACATCAACTGTTAGACCAGATGAAAGAAAGAAAGAAGGTAGGTCGTAACGTGGAGTTTGGAGTTTATTAAAGAAACAAAAAATTGTTGATAGGCTAATGTAAAGGATGGCATTGGTAGCCCTGATGGTATTTTATTTCCCTTTTCTCTGATTCTCAAAAAAAAACACTGAAAATGCAAAGGGGAATATTACAGGTGAAATCACTTGTAAACTTTATGAAACTTGTTTCATTTATAAACTTTATGAAACTTGTTTCATTTATAAACTTTATGAAACTTGATTCATTTTTAAACTTTATGAAACTTGTTTCATTTTTAAACTTTTATGAAACTTGTTTCATTTATAAACTTTATGAAACTTGATTCATTTTTAAACTTTATGAAACTTGTTTCATTTATAAACTTTTATGAAACTTGTTTCATTTATAAACTTTATGAAACTTGTTTCATTTATAAACTTTATGAAACTTGTTTCATTTATAAACTTTTATGAAACTTGTTTCATTTATAAACTTTTATGAAACTTGTTTCATTTATAAACTTTTATGAAACTTGATTCATTTATAAACTTTATGAAACTTGTTTCATTTTTAAACTGTATGAAACTTGATTCATTTTTAAACTTTATGAAACTTGTTTCATTTATAAACTTTTATGAAACTTGTTTCATTTATAAACTTTTATGAAACTTGTTTCATTTTTAAACTGTATGAAACTTGATTCACTTTAATCTTTCACCTTCAGTGTTAGCTATCCATTATAAAACTTGTATGCTTAATCATCTAATGGCGATTAAGATAGTAGAGTAACTCAGGGGCTGTAGGAGTTGGTGAAAGTGAATTGTGGTAATTTTTATATAGAGCTAGATTTTAAGAGAGCTTTTATCATGTGTTTCTCATATTTGTGCTTGTTTCAAGATATATGAACAATTTGTTGATAAAACATTATTTATATGTATGTATGTTTGGTTGCAGCTATTATTGCGTCATATAGTGATGATAACATTTTGCAGTTAAGTTTAGGATCTGAATGAGACTTAGCCTTCCTCAGTGTGCTCCCAAAGAAGAATGACTGACATTTGTTAAGTTCTGTTTAAATAGTTAGCACACAGGATCACCTACAAAAGTTGTAATGTTTTCAAACGAGACCCAAACCTCGAGCGCTTTCGAACAGTTGACTATTCTTCTTCAGGAGAATAAAGGGTTTTGTTTAATGAGTGTAATGAAATATATAGGCATGAGAGTTGACATCACGTAAACCGGATATTCAGTACGAGTTGGCCTTGAGAACTAGCCAATCATAACCTAGAGTTGTTTGTTTCAGGTTTACTTTGTGCCAAAGAGGTGTGTACAGTACATAAAAGACTTAAGTGTGATAATAATTATATGAAAAAAATATAATAATAGCAAAAGGTGGTGGGAAATAGATAAAATAATAATGTGATGTAATATACAGGAAATCATATCAATATAGAGAAATTTAAGTAAGAATAATAATAATAATGTGTAAAGTAAGTTTAATCACGAATTTAGTTTTGAAATATTTTCAGAGACTTGCGAAGGTCAACAATCCCACTTTATGTACTTTACACACCTCCTTGGCACAAACTAAACCTGACACAAACAACTCTAGGTTATGATTGGCTAGTTCTCAAGACCAACTCGTATTAAACATCTGGTTTACATGACGTTGACATCCATGCCTATATATTTCATTACATCATTAAATATAACTCTCTATTCTCCTGAAAAGAATAGTCAACTATTCGACAGTGCTCAAGTTTTGGGTCTCATATGAAAACATGATATTTGTTAAGTGTAGCATCTGAACAAGAATTAACCTATCGTAGTGTTTTCTCAAAAAAACATGACTGCTCTCTGTTAAGTGTAGGGTCTAAACAAGACTGAATTTTATTAAGTGTAGGGTCTGAACGAGACTTTCACTCCAACAGTTTATATGGGTATGTCTTGGTCTTTATAAAAAATATTAACACTATTATTTAAATTAGTTTTTTAATGTCTTATTCATTCCAAGTTATTTTAAAAAATTGTTGTTATACAAATGGCTTATGGTGTCTCATCGAATAAGCCCACCAGAGTTTTGTAAGTTTTATATTTTATAATTCTGATACCAGTAAACCATTTTTTTTTTCCAGTTTACAGCACTAATGGATTTACCTTTAAGATGAGAGTGATTAGTAATTCTTGAACTTATGTTTGTGTAGATTTTCTGAAATGTGGGCCTTGTGGATCTATTTTTCACACTCTTACCACCTTCATAACCATACCTTTAACTGTAGTAGAACTGGAGAGTCTCTGTGACTGACAACTGGTAACCGTACCTTTAGCTGTGGTAGAACTAGAGAGTCTCTGTGACTGACAACCGGTACTTTTGTGGTTGACGGTTGTCAGTCACTGAGACTCTCTAGTTCTACTACAGCTAAAGGTATGGTTACCAGTTGTCAGTCACAGAGACTCTCCAGTTCTACTACAGTTAAAGGTATGGTTACCGGTTGTCAGTCACTGAGACTCTCTAGTTCTACTACAGCTAAAGGTATGGTTACCAGTTGTCAGTCACAGAGACTCTCCAGTTCTACCACAGTTAAAGGTACGGTTACCAGTTTTCAGTCACTGAGACTCTCCAGTTCTACCACAGCTAAAGGTACGGTTAGCAGTTGATAAGTTACTGAAGTCATCAAAGCAGTGCTCTGTTGCTAGTGGTAAAACTAATATAATTTTAGACATGTTGATTACATATCTTGTTATATAATGTACAGTTTTGGTTGGACACAAGTTTAAGATCTGGAAAAGACAGGATAGTCTCCAATTTATTTTTCAAACAGGGTGATTATTAATGAAACAAGTAGCTTTTGTCAGTAGTGGAAGCCAGCACTTTACGGAAGTTTAAGAGGGGAATCAATTTTCTGAAGAGTAAAGGATGGGTGTAAATTTTTTTTATTTTTTCAAGGGTGGGTATGAAAAGGTAATGTTAATGATCAAATGGCCCCTTATTATTCATATGTTATGTGGTCCTTTGTCTGTATGTTCTGCAAGTCCACAAACTATGTAATAATAGTATATTACAGTTGTCAATAAATAAACCTTATTCTGTGTTCTGTGCTGTTAGCTTTTACTTGTAAACAAAACTGTTACAGATTGCTCCCGTCATGGCCATTGTTGATATCACACATGTACAAAAGATTTAATGTACATGTGGGATCTATTTTAATGTTGGGGAAAGCAGGCTACCTTGGAAAGATTTAAACACCCAGAATACTCATATGGATGCTTAAAACTAAACTTGTGTACATAGCAAATTATTATTATATGTGTTTATTTATTCTTTATTAAATATCTATGTACATCTTTAAAAAAAAATGTAAGCATCAATAATTAAATAGCTTCAAAGACCAGTAACCTTCAAAAGTGTATCAACAAAAATCTCTTTGTTAAACTATCTTAACTGTATTTATCTATTAAACTGTACTATTTCTTACTAGTGTATGGAAGCACATTATGTTATTAAAATAGTAAATAACATGTATCTCTTTTACATATTTATTTTTATGTTAAATCTATATAGTAGTTTATACCTGTGACTCTAAGTAGTTGTAAATAACATGTATCTCTTTTACATATTTATTTTTATGTTAAATCTACTTAGTAGTTTATACCTGTGACTCTAAGTAGTTGTAAATAACATCTATTTCTCTTACAAATTTGTTAATATTCCAACAGAAAGCTCCAGTAGTAGCTTGAAGTCACATTTCTTGAAGGCTGATCACACCCATAAAAGAACAGTGCCTCATTCTACTTCTGGTAAAAATCCTTCATCAGTGAATGCTGCTACAAAAAAGCCATCTGCTACGAATATATTTGAAAGAAATACTCCAGATACAAATCGAGATGAAAGAAAAACTTCAGATACAAGCTCTTCCAACAGTACTGGGCGACAGATCCGCATCCCCAAATTAACCCCAAAGATGCTAGCATTACAACAGGAGAAAATGAATTTTAAAATGGGTATTTTTCCTACTCAGAGGGAATCAACAATTAAGGTTAGTATTTATTTACAAGAAGTTATTTATCTACTGATGTATCTACTTATAACTTTATAGGCCAGCTTAACATCTGTTACAATAATTGATATGATTTGACTAAATTCCAGAAGTTTGAAACATGGGGTTAATACAATACGTTTTCTGTTTGTATGCTCCAGGAAGCAACGGATATAAATGTCTGCTCTTAATCAAAATGGCTGGTAGGTTTAATAGGTCTAATAAATGTGTATTTTAATAACTGTAACATAATATGGGAGCAACTAAAGAAATATTTGTTACCAAAATTATTTGTCAAGTTAAAATTAAACCAGTAACTAGTTAATGTTTGAGCAAATAAAAAAGTGTAAAGCATTCAATATTAAGCCTAGCATTAGGCCTAGCATGGTTTGATGGTTAGGGTGAATGACTTGTAATCTGAAAGTCACAAGTTGAATCTCCTTTGCCAAACATGCTTGCCCTATATGTCTGCTAACTGGACCAACCACCTGGGTATAAAAATTCTTGGCTTACAAAAATACTGGCCAACCCCAAACTATTTGGGATTAAGGTCATGAAAAAAAAAAATTCAATGTGAAGACCATTAGGTAATCCATATATAGATTTGAAAGTTGCCAGTTTCAGATCATAAAAGTAAATATTCAGTGTTGAATTATAGTGATATGAGAAAGAGTGAGATGGCTCAATGAAACCACCCCTATTTCATCAGAACAACCAAAATATCGAAATCAAATCTGGTATAGCCTTTCACAACCGTTTTATGAACTTGAATTTATAATCTGTGACCTGTTCAAACTTTATGTTGTGTTATAAGAACTGATTCTTTCTATGACTGCTAGGAGATAAAGTCACCAGAAGTTTCTGTGAAGGGTACCAAGCAGGCTTGTGGAGAATGTGAAGGTTGTTTACGAGTAGAAGACTGCGGTGAATGTGCCACATGTCTGGTAAGTTGTAATCAATCGTTTCTCATGGAATATTCCAGGTCAAAACATATTTCTCATAAATTGTATAATGTTTCTTATTAAAAATTAAATATTTACCATAGTTTTGACTTTAATGGCAGATCTACATTTCCTACTGCACTAACCAAGGAGACAAAAAAACTTATAACTTAGAAATAACCAGACTATCAAAGTACAATAGATTGTACACTGGTGTTGGTTGAAACTCTTCAAATATTGGTCCTAACAGATAACTTATAGCATATATTGTTCATTTATTCTTTAATGTAAAATTGGTAGACCTTTTGACTATATAGATATTATTACAGTTTTGACTATATAGATATTATTACAGTTGCTCTTAGCAGCTTTCTTTCTGTCAAAAAACTCCTTAGACTTTTATCTTATGTTATGATTAGGAGAGATGTTGAGGTAAGTTGGACATTGTATTTACAAGTCTTAGGAGAGATGTTGAGGTAAGCTGGACGTTGTATATACAAGTCTTAGGAGAGATGTTGAGGTAAGTTGGACATTGTATTTACAAGTCTTAGGAGAGATGTTGAGGTAAGCTGGACGTTGTATATACAAGTCTTAGGAGAGATGTTGAGGTAAGTTGGACATTGTATTTACAAGTCTTAGGAGAGATGTTGAGGTAAGTTGGACATTGTATTTACAAGTCTTAGGAGAGATGTTGAGGTAAGTTGGACATTGTATATATAAGTCTCAGGTGAGATATATTTACGCATGTCAGAAGAGATGTTGAGGTAAGTTGGACATTGTATTTAAAAGTCTTAGGAGAGATGTTGAGGTAAGTTGCACATTGTATATACAAGTCTTAGGTGAGATATATTTACGCATGTCAGAAGAGATGTCGAGGTAGGTGAGATACTATATGTTACATGTTAGGAGAGATATCACTGTAGATTGATCATTACATTTGCACATGTTAGGAGAGATGTTTAGATAGGTTAGACTTTATGATGTTTACACATCTGTTTTTACATGTATGTATTCTATTTATGTGAAAGAGTAGCCAATCGTTGTTTTATACCATTTGAAATCTTTGTTTCTTTGGGTAGTCATTAAGAGTAATTTACAGGAAATGTCTTAGACTGTACATAAAGTAAAAACAAACCCATTATATATATTTACAAACATGACAAAAAATTAAAAGTACACTAAAAGCAATCTGTTTTATTCCTTCTTTGTGGTAAGGGCATGACTGATGTACATTAACATAAAAAGAGCTAGTTTCAACATGTCATTCTCAAGGAATATAAAACTTCTTGGACCAGTAGGTGTAAATACCTATGACCACAGTATGTTAACAAGCAGATAAATAAGATAGAAGATCACTACAAAAAGGATACTTATTCCATTTCTCGTTCTTGTAAATATGCTTATATTGGTCAAACAAAGCGATCTCTTTCATATAGAATAAAGAAAGTTGAATTCTACTAGCTTTGGAAGGAAGTTAAAAAATCAGTTATAGAATTACACACAGCCAACGATGAAGTGAAATTTGATCTGTCATCAATGTTTGCTGAACCAAAATTCTTCCATCGCTGGAACACAATACAAGAAATTCAATAGAAATATTTAAAATGAGAGAAAACATGATCAATAACGATTTGGAAATGTTTGTTTTAATAATTAATTAATATATGTGTATCTTTTTTTGTACCTAAATGTAGAAGACAATGTGATTGTAGATATCTATACAGCTTTATTGCATCCCTTGAGAATAATAAGTTTGGTCTGTTTGAAACAAGTTCTTTTCTTCATTAATTTTTGTGCACCAACCACTTCCCTTTCTTTAAATACATTTCATACATGTTGACGAATATGGATATTTTTGTTTAATTTAACTCTGCTGTCTTTTATCCAGTAAGCTACAAGTAGTTTTTGGTGCTTAAAATATGTTTTTAACTTTCTTTTAAATACAAGTAAGATAATATTCATAAAGCTGTCTTTCATTTGTCTTGAAATTTATTTACTACTTAGGCTCTTACGTATATTCATTCGTTTGTGATTTAGGATAAAAAAAAATTTGGGGGCCCAGGAAGATTGAAGAAGAAGTGCTTGTTGAAAAGTTGTGAAGAGTTTACTGTAAGTTTTCATGTTACTTAAGTTATTACAAAACTACTTTGTTCCAGGCAAAACCAAAACAGTTAACATCTGTTACCAGTTGTAAAAACGTGGTCTAGAACAGTTAACATCTGTTACCAATTGTAAAAACACAGTCTAGAATAGTTAACATCTGTTATCAGTTGTAAAAACATGGTCTAGAACAGTTAACATCTGTTACCAGTTGTAAAAAAGTTGGTCTAAAACAGTTAACATCTGTTACCAGTTGTAAAAACACAGTCTAGAATAGTTAACATCTGTTACCAGTTGTAAAAAGTTGGTCTAAAACAGTTAACATCTGTTACCACTTGTAAAAAAGTTGGTTCAGAACAGTTAACATCTGTTACCAGTTGTAAAAACATGGTCTAGAACAGATAACATCTGTTATCAGTTGTAAAAACATGGTCTAGAACAGTTAACATCTGTTACCAATTGTAAAAACACAGTCTAGAATAGTTAACATCTGTTACCAGTTGTAAAAAGTTGGTCTAAAACAGTTAACACCTGTTATCAGTTGTAAAAACATAGTCTAGAACAGTTAACATCTGTTACCAAGTGTAAAAAGATGGTCCTAAATAGTTAACATCTGTTATCAGTTGGAAAAACACAGTCTAGAGTAGTTAACATCTATTACCAGTTGTAAAAAGTTGGTCTAAAACAGTTAACATCTGTTATCAGTTGTAAAAACATAGTCTAGAACAGTTAACATCTGTTACCAATTGTAAAAACACAGTCTAGAATAGTTAACATCTGTTACCAGTTGTAAAAAGATGGTCCTAAATAGTTAACATCTGTTATCAGTTGGAAAAACGTGGTCTAGAACAGTTAACATCTGTTACCAATTGTAAAAACACAGTCTAGAATAGTTAACATCCGTTACCAGTTGTAAAAAAGTTGGTCTAAAACAGTTAACATCTGTTACCACTTGTAAAAAAGTTGGTCCAGAACAGTTAACATCTGTTATCAGTTGTAAAAACATGGTCTAGAACAGTTAACATCTGTTACAAATTGTAAAAACACAGTCTAGAATAGTTAACATCTGTTACCAGTTGTAAAAAGTTGGTCTAAAACAGTTAACGTCTGTTACCACTTGTAAAAAAGTTGGTTCAGAACAGTTAACATCTGTTATCAGTTGTAAAAAGATGGTCCAGAATAGTTAACATTTGTTATCAGTTGTAAAAACATGGTCCAGAACAGTTAATATCTGTTATCAGTTGTAAAAACATGGTCCAGAATAGTTAACATCTGTTATCAGTTGTAAAAAGTTGGTCCAGAACAGTTAACATCTGTCACCAGTTGTAAAAACATGGTCTAGAACAGTTAACATCTGTTACCAATTATAAAAACACAGTCTAAAATAGTTAACATCTGTTACCACTTGTAAAAAGTTGGTCCAGAATAGTTAACATCTGTTATCAGTTGTAAAAAGTTGGTCCAGAACAGTTAACATCTGTTACCAGTTGTAAAAATCTGGTCCAGAACAGTTAACATCTGTTATCAGTTGTAAAAAGATGGTCCATAATATTCTTGTTGTAGTTGCTACATTTTATTATTAATTTTATTCTCCAGATCAACAGAGTGTATCAAGTAGAGAAGGTCCTGGGTAAAAGATACCACCAGGGGGTACTTGAGTATCTGTTAAAGTGGAAAGGATACCCAAGGTATGTACAAATTACTAAAAAATTCTTCTGGTTTGTAAGAAAAAAATGCTAAAAAGGGGTATTGCAGTTTAATTTATGATGTTATAAGTTTAATTATTTTCTACAATTCTGGTTATAGTTCTTGTCCTACTAGCTGTGATGAAGCTTTGGTGGTGAAACAGTGGCTGATAATAGTTCTTGTACTACTAGCACTGATGAAGTTTCAGTGGTGAAACAGTGGCTGATAATAGTTCTTGTACTACTAGCACTGATAAAGCTTTGGTGGTGAAACAGTGGCTGATAATAGTTCTTGTACTACTAGCCCTGATGAAGCTTTGATGGTGAAACAGTGGCTGATAATAGTTCTTGTACTACTAGCACTGATGAAGGTTCAGTGGTGAAACAGTGGCTGAAATAGTTTTTATTGTTTTTTGTTGAATTTTTTTTCTCTAAGTTGATTTCCAAAATGTCTAAATCTCTCCAGTGTGGAAAACAAATTATGATAAAGAACAATTTGAGAACAAAATGCTGCATGTTTAATCTATTGTCAAAAATGTATCTGGAAAGTTAATTGAACTCCTAATGTTATTTGGAGAAATGAAAACAACAGAAGTTGTACATATTAACTCTGGTGTAATGTAGAATTTAAAATGTTGAAATTTGTAACAAGATATTGCTTGAACAGGATTAACTTTTCATCAACATATTTTGGTAGTATTTGTAATAAAATCTGTAAAGAAGTACTCTTGTTTTGTTTTCTATAATATGATTAGCTGTCCTTTGTCCAGCTTATGAACTTTGAAAATGTGGGTGTGAATGCTATGACAAGTAACACAAAAATCCTAATTTTCACACAGTTTATTTATAGCTTAACATATTATTACACTCTTCATTATTACCTCACCCAAAGTTTTGTATAAGGCTTAAGAACTCAATAGGTAAACACTTAAAACATGGTATACACTGAGTGATGGTTGGGGTGACTTTGTATTAAGAGGTAGAAGCCAAAGTAGTGGCAGTAGGGGTGCTTTATGTTACCCACTTTCAAAAACCAACTCTTATTGTCCTTCCACAGTGTTTTATATGTTTAATTAATTGACAGTTATTGGCCCCAGAAGTGTCTTTTGGGCCAAAGTTGAAATGTCACAGGTCAGAATACGAAGTGGGTATAACTCAAGAAATGGCTCTTCATATCACCTTTATGGTGGCTGTTGGAATAGAAACTTCAGCTGAGTTTATGTATTATTGCACTAGTGGTTGGCATTTTATGCTTTGCATTCCTCCATAGAGAGTGTTAGCACACTCACTCTCTGAGTTATTTGTGTGCCCTCCTCCCATACTTTGTGTATGTTGTGTTATAGAAAATTTAATACGTTTTTTTTGTTTTTGATGTAACAATGTGGCACCATATACGAATGTAGTTAATGTTAAATTATGTGAAAGATAATAAATTCTCAATAGCGGGGGATGAAGGGATTTGTTAACCCCACATTTACATGCCCCTTTTTCCAAACTATCATCCCACAAAGTTTGGTTGAGATTGGCCCAGTGACCTAGGAGTAGTTAGATAATGGAGGAACAGACAGACACAGATTTTTGTGCTTTATATATATAAATATATCAAAATGCTTCTGTATTCTGTGCTATATCATGGTAATGTACAGTTTTGAAATAATAATAAATCTTCTAGGAACATTGTGTTTATATTTTTATGAACTTTAATGTAGTTGCATATTTTTTTGTACAACTTTAACATTCATTAATTCAGTTATTAATAAATACGTAATCTAATCTCATGTAAACCTTTAATTCTTAGTTTTGATGAATTGTATAATATTAAATCTACATAGAAAGTATAATATTTTGTTGTTGAAAAATTTTTAAATTACCAATTTCATTTACTGTGTTTTCCTTTTTTTTCACAATAAGTAATACAATCATTAAAATATTTTAGCAGTGGTTTTGTAGTTAAGGTTTGTTTCTTGTTTAGCACAAAGAGGCACAATTAGTTATCTTTGGTGTGGCTGCTGCAGGAATCAAAACCCAAATTTAGTGCTATAATCCCTTCAGTTCTCAACTGAGTCACTAGGGAGGGCTGTAGTTAAGGCCATGAAAACTTGTCCAGCGTATAAACATAAATGTTATAATCAGTCCCATGAACTTCAAGGTATTGTTTATTAAAATGATTTCTCTAAATCTAGTTCTGAAAATTACATTGTATAAACACAAATGTTGTAATCAGTTCCATAAACTTCAGGGTATTGTTTATAACAATAATTTATCTAAAACTAGTTCTGAAAACTACAGTGTATAAACACAAATGTTGTAATCAGTCCCATGAACTTCAAGGTATTGTTTATAACAATAATTTCTTTAAAACTACTTCTGAAAACTACAGTGTATAAGCACAAATGTTATAATCAGTCCCATGAACTTTGGGGTATTGTTTATAACAATAATTTCTCTAAAACTACTTCTGAAAACTACAGTGTATAAACACAAATGTTGTAATCAGTCCCATGAACTTCAAGGTATTGTTTATAACAATAATTTATCTAAAACTACTTCTGTAAACTACAGTGTATAAGCACAAATGTTGTTATCAGTCCCATGAACTTCAAGGTATTGTTTATAACAATAATTTCTTTAAAACTACTTCTGTAAACTACAGTGTATAAACAGAAATGTTATAATCAGTCCCATGAACTTTAGGGTATTGTTTATAACAATAATTTATCTAAAACTACTTCTGAAAACTACAGTGTATAAGCACAAATGTTGTAATCAGTCCCATGAACTTATGCATATTTTTTACAACAATAATTTATCTAAAACTAGTTCTGAAAACTGCTGGGAACCAGAAGTGAACATTCTCAGTAAGAACTTGATTGAAGAGTTTGAGAAGCAGCAAGAGGTTGACGGGAGAAAAGGAAGAGAGAGGGCTTACTCCCCAGAACCAGTAAGAAGGAAGATAAAATCCCCTGCCAGGAAGTTAAGAGAGAAGTATATGTCCCCCAGACTACAACTGAATAGCGTTAAAATCCCAAGAACATCATCTAATGAATCCGTTACTGAAGTAGAAAAGAAACGGGCTAGAGAGAAAACTGATTCTCCTGAACCAGTCACTAAATTAATCAAACTGGAAGTAGAGGTTAGTTATCTGAATTACTTAAGTTTTAGATTTTATCATTATACTTTCAGCATCTCGTACATTCTCTAGAAGTATAAGCATGTTCTCTATTGCATCATCAGATATATTTCAATCTTTTCTTAGAAATGTAAGCATATTTCATTATTGAAGAGTTAAATGTGGAGTTGGTGTTTGGTAGAGTTCATGAAATATGTAGAATTATTGGCCGTTTATAATAATATTTAGAGTTGACTAAATGCAGCTTTGATTTGTTGTGTCATTATAAACTTTTCCCCAAATCGACAGCACTTCTGTCACAGGAAGTGGTAATGCTTAAAGCTTTTCCGCTGATTGTAGGATATTTGTTCTCCTGCTCAGGGATGTAAAAAGGTTATTTCTCATATCCTGTTGGGAAAACTATTTGTCCAATCATTACTTTCAAGCATCTTCAGGTTCTACTAATTTCCAAACATCTAATATTGTCATTAATGAGAATTTTTAAAACTTTTAATTAAACTCACTGATTTTTATATGCTTGTTAAAGTGACTAAAATATTTAGAATGTGTAACATCCATTAGTTTAAACTGTAAACAAGAGTTTGATACAGATTAAACTAAAGCTGGTTAACCATTATTAAGGATGTAAGGATTATCTGTAAACATGAGTTTGATATAGATTAAACTAAAGTTGGATAACCATTATTAAGGATGTAAGGATTATCTGTAAATAAGAGTTTGATACAGATTAAACTAAAGTTGGTTAACCATTATTAAGGATGTGAGGATTATCTGCAAACAAGAGTTTGATACAGATTAAACTAATGTTGGTTAACCATTATTAAGGATGTAAGGATTATCTGCAAACAAGAGTTTGATATAGATTAAACTAAAGTTGGTTAACCATTATTAAGGATGTAAGGATTATCTGTAAATAAGAGTTTGATACAGATTAAACTAAAGTTGGTTAACCATTATTAAGGATGTAAGGATTATCTGCAAACAAGAGTTTGATATAGATTAAACTAAAGTTGGTTAACCATTATTAAGGATGTAAGGATTATCTGCAAACAAGAGTTAGATACAGATTAAACTAAAGTTGGTTAACCATTATTAAGGATGTAAGGATTATCTGTAAACAAGAGTTTGATACAGATTAAACTAAAGTCATTGTTTGTCTTAGATTAAATCAGCCTGTTTCGACAAATTGTGAAAGAAATATTTTATGAGATATCAGCACATTTAATGTAAGACAGCTCATCTTTTGTGAACAAAACCATAATTTGGTGATTTAGGAAATATTAAGTAGTCCTGTCTATGTGAGTTATACTGCTCTTGTTTGGTGAGATGGAAATCCCCTGCAAATTGTGCATCCTAACCACCTGGCCATGCCAGGCCGGGTAAATCTTACTGCTATAATTAATATGTAATCTGTTTTTAATTAGGAATCTCCAAAAGAATGTGATCACCAGGAAGCCAAGGAACCAGCAAATAAAACATCTAGAGAAAACGAATCTCTTGAACATACACCAGTTGAACAAGAAGTGAGAGAACTGATCGAGACAGATTCTGCTTTACCAGAGCCTGAAGCAACAATTTCTCAGAAAAACACTGAATTAGATCAAGAAGTAGGAAAAGTAACAAAGAAACATCATTTATCTCAAGATCCCAAAACTATTAAACCTGCCATGATTATAAAAAATACAGAAAACAAACATAGTAAAAAAGAAATAATGCTACAAAAAGACACATTTTATGAACAGATTGGTTTGCAGAAAAAACGAGGCAGGGGACGTCCTAAAGGAACCAGAAAAGTTGGTAGACCTAGAAAAACTGAGGTTCGTGTAGGACGAATCACAAAAATGAAAGAAAAATTTGCAATTTTGAGAAAACAAAAATCTTTTCACAGGCTGAAATCACTATTTCCTGCAACAATGAAACCGAAAGGGAGTGTTGATAACAATGAACAGAAGTTAACAACTAATAATACTTCACCAAATAATTATGATAATGGAGATTTTGAACTAGAGGAATTTGACAAAGATGAAGACCAAATAATTGATGAAAAAGGAAGGACCATCACTGATACAGAACAAATTACATCTTCAGAAAGTGAGGGTCGAAACAGACGTTCCACTAGTCTTGCTGCTCGAAATTTCATCAAGTCTGTGTGTCGAAGAATACAAAACACAAAGAAACTGGAAAAAATTTGGGCTGACAATGAAAATAAGATTCTTCAGAGGCGGTTTCTGGAGGATTCTTCAGGTAGTGAATGGGAAGATGAAGATGATGAGGTTGCCTCGGAAGTTTCTAATGATAAGCCAGATGAGGATGGTGATCCACAAAAAAAAGTGCCTATGGTTAACAGATTACTGTTGTTAGAAAATTTCTTTAGAAAACCTTTTTTTTTCTTTTACCTGAAAGCTATAGGTCTGGTCTGTTTGGACACAATGGAAGATATCGTGGTATGAAAGGATTTCCAGGGAAATTAGACCGATTACGAATGTTTTACAATGTACAGAACCTACCCGATTCTCTGAAGAAAAAGCCTGGAAGAAAGCCAAAATCTTTTTTTGAGGGTCAACCTCTTAGTTTTTTCCATGGCATTACTGTTCGTGGAAGAGGAAGACCAAGGACTAGCTTTGTTGGAAGAGTTCACCTTCATGGGGTAGGTGGGTTTGGGACAAGAGTTGGTCTATCTGGGAGGGGATACTGGCCCAGGAGAGGCAGGCGTGGAAGAGGCAGAGGATTAAGACGAGGAAGAGGGAATTGGAGCATTATGACATTACAAAAGACAGAAAAGGCAGGATTCGAGGGATCAAATGAAGATGATATCACTTTATCCCCTCAGACTTCTGGTCCTGTGATGATATCAGTTGTCCAGGGGCTTGCTCAAGGTTCGAGCAGAGGACGAAGTAGAGGAATAAGGGGATCACAAGGTGGCTCAAGATTACAGCACGTAATCATCGGCCCACATAAAAGAAGAGGTCGACCTCCAAAAACTGAATCGGTAATGCGCATGGTTCAACCAGCTACTCAAGATGAAAGTCAGTCATTTGATCTCAGTGAAGGTTTGTCAGATTTAAGCCAGAATTCACGCTTAGGATTACCAGCATCACTGGTGAAGAGAAAACGGGGAAGACCTCGTAAATATCCTCAGTTCTACTCGGAGGACTATAAATTTTTTGAAGATGCTGCTCAGTTTGCTCCAGGTCAGAAGAGTGATTCAGAAGAACCATTGCATCCGCCAGTTGTAAAAAGAAAACGAGGAAGGCCACCAAAATATCCATCGTTGATGCAACGGAGTATCTGGACATCAAGAATGGGCTTACCACCAGGTGAAGAAGGGGATATCAACTGGCATGGTAGACGACAAAACAGGATATTTGTTGTGATGCCTGACTCTAGCATTGTTGAAGTGAGAGGAACAGATACTGTAAAAGCTGTGGAAAAAGCTGGTAGTAAACTGGAAGCAATAAAACGAGGAGACTTAGGGGAGGTGAGAACCTAATTAAAATTTTGAAATTTAGTATTTAATGTTTCATAAACATCTAGAAACCATGTGGTCAAATTCTCACCAATCAGTAATTATTTCTCTTCAGAAATGCTCTGATTCTGTTATATTTAAAAATCAATGTTTTAACTTCATGTTTATAGCATTTCACTTGGTCACAAAGTATTTACTTTTCTGTCTCATTAAGTATACAAGAATATCACATCTACTTTTTCTTCTGTTATAGATTTTTTTATTCCCGTGGAATGTGAATGTTTAAAAACTACAATACTCAAGGAAATACCTAAACTGGCTGATTAAAATTTTAATAAAGAGGTAGAAAATGTCTAATTAATGATCTAAACTTGTGACCTACCAACACAATGATCTAAACTTTTGTTCTTACCATATAGCTATATATAGTTTTGTTCTAACCACACAATGATCTAAACTTCTGACCTAACCACACAATACCATATATTTATATATACTTTTGTCCTAACCACACACACAATGATCTAAACTTTTGTTCTTGGTAGGTCACAAGTTTAGATCATTGTGTGGTTAGGACAAAAGTATATATAAATATATGGTAAGAACAAAAGTTTAGATCATTGTGTGATTAGAAGAAAAGTTTAGATCACTGTGTGGTTAGAACAGAGGTTTTCATCACTGTGGGGTTAGAACAAAAGTTTAGATTATTGTGTGATTAGGTCATAGAATACAAAAAATAAAACAACATAACGTATTATATAAGCTGTAGTCATGGTAAAGTTAGGTTGTGTTACATATCACATATACATGGATGTATGTGTTACAGGGTATGAGACGGCCTTACAAAACGCGACCAACATTGGAAGAATGCACTCTTGACACAGTAGACCACACATCAACGTTAAAGCTTCCAAACACCCTACAGTTAGTAGAGAGCGAACTACCTCTGGAAGAGGCTGACAATGCAGAGAAGCTGGTGGGAATGTTCTTATTTCGTCAGGTATATTCTCCGAATGAGACGACCCTGCGATGTCTCTTCTGCAAGGACAAGTATTCCTTGCGGTTTCCCGTAGATCTAGAGAAGCACTATCACTGTATTCATGAGCTTTCTGTGCACAATGCTAAGGCAGACTTTAGTGAAAATGTTGTGTTTGTCTGCGTTCCTTCTGACGTAACAGAAGAGACCACGCTGAACTCTGCCTGCAGATTCTGTGAAGTGATCTTAAAGAACCTTAATGAGGTACGGGAACACTACCCTGTTGACCATGATAAGACTGTTCGCCTCATTCCAGAATCATCGGTAATGAACTTTGGAGAGAGTTTCTACTGCAGCATCTGCAGCCATCCATCAGTAGACTTTCTTGATCACCATGAACACATGAAAACTGTGCATCACATGCAAACATATGTTTGTCGCTTCTGTAACTACTGTACTTCTCGACCAAATCGGTTGAGGAGTCATTTTAAGCAACGTCACTTTCAAGATGTCCCAAGTCCACACCTGCAATGTCCCGTCTGTCAGGTGTATGCTCTCGGAAAGGAAAGACTGAATCGTCACATGCTGTTATCTCATGCTGTGCAAACAGGTAACTTAGTTAACATGTGGGTGTACTAATTTCTATACTAAAAACTATTAGTTGTATCTCTTAAACAGGTAGAGCTCCTTTAACTATCTGTAAGTAATTTAAAAGCATACATTTATCATTGTAATGGGAATGTCTGAAATCACTGACATTGCTTCTGAAAGATACTGAACAGTCTATTCATAATTGTTTAAAAAAGTTTTTCATTTTTCTGTGTGTAAGGATTATTTATGGTGTTAATGCATCTAGATGATTAGATTAGGGGTAGAAATTGGTGATTTCTGGTATGATTACATCTGTTTGAGTAACTAAGTGGAATAAATAAAACCCTTTATAAGATAAAAATAATTATTAAAATGAACGCACAAGTAGAGAAGCATTAACAATACATCGATTACTGGTACAGGAAGAACTTAAAACACAATAAGTAGAGAAGCATTAACAATACATCGATTACTGGTACAGGAAGAACTTAAAACACAATAAGTAGAGAAGTGTTGACAACACATCAATTACTGGTACAGGAAGAACTTGAAACACAATAAGTAGAGAAGTGTTGACAATACATTGATTACTGGTACAGAAAGAACTTAAAACACAATAAGTAGAGAAGCATTAACAATACATCAGTTACTGGTACAGTAGAGAAGTGTTGACAACACATCGATTACTGGTACAGGAAGAACTTAAAACACAATAAGTAGAGAAGTGTTGAGAGTACATCAATTACTGGTACAGGAAGAACTTAAAGCACAATAAGTAGAGAAGTATTAACAATACATCGATTACTGGTACAGGAAGAACTTAAAACACAATAAGTAGAGAAGTGTTGACAACACATCAATTACTGGTACAGGAAGAACTTAAAACACAATAAGAAGAGAAGTGTTGACAATACATTGATTACTGGTACAGGAAGAACTTAAAACACAATAAGTAGAGAAGTATTAACAATACATCGATTACTGGTACAGGAAGAACTTAAAACACAATAAGTAGAGAAGTGTTGACAACACATCGATTACTGGTGCAGGAAGAACTTGAAACACAATAAGTAGAGAAGTGTTGACAATACATTGATTACTGGTACAGGAAGAACTTAAAACACAATAAGTAGAGAAGTGTTGACAACACATCGATTACTGGTACAGGAAGAACTTAAAACACAATAAGTAGAGAAGTGTTGACCAATACATCAATTACTGGTACAGGAAGAACTTAAAACACAATAAGTAGAGAAGTGTTGACAACACATCGATTACTGGTACAGGAAGAACTTAAAACACAATAAGTAGAGAAGTGTTGACAGTACATCAATTATTGGTATAGGAAGAACTTAAAACACAATAAGTAGAGAAGCATTAACAATACATCAATTACTGGTACAGGAAGAACGTAAAACACAATAAGTAGAGAAGTGTTGACAACTCATCAGTTACTGGTACAGGAAGAACTTAAAACACAATAAGTAGAGAAGTGTTGACAACACATCAATTACTGGTACAGGAAGAACTTAAAACACAATAAGTAGAGAAGTGTTGACAATACATCGATTACTGGTACAGGAAGAACTTAAAACACAATAAGTAGAGAAGTGTTGACAACACATCGATTACTGGTACAGGAAGAACTTAAAACACAATAAGTAGAGAAGCATCAACAATACTAAGGTTAAATGTAAACATACACCTACTTACCCTTCCCTGACAGATAAACTTTCACTTCATTTTCTGTAAGGTTTACTGAGGTTAAGTGTAAACATACACCTACTTACCCTTTCCTGACAGATAAACTTTCACTTCATTTTCTGTAAGGTTTACTGAGGTTAAGTGTAAACATACACCTACTTACCCTTCCCTGACAGATAAACTTTCACTTCATTTTCTGTAAGGTTTACTGAGGTTAAGTGTAAACATACACTTACTTACCCTTCCCTGACAGATAAACTTTCACTTCATTTTCTGTAAGGTTTACTGAGGTTAAGTGTA